TGTTATTCTGGTTAGTGAGAAGTGAGGGAGAGCAGCTGTATGGTTTCCAACAACATTGCTGTAAGTTAACACTATTCCCCACTCCTTGTTCAACAGGGACGGTGCATTTCATACTGAATATAACAGAGCGGTCACATTAAAGGTAAATTTAAATATTCGATTATTATTCTTTTGCTTTTGCTAGATACGGAGGAGACATTTGTGTATTAAAAACAGGTGTTGGTACTTCTTCATGCCGAAGGCATGAAAGGGAACGAGTTAATTTTCATAAACAGCTGTCACAATGACTTAAAGGTTTTTGTGTGTGTGTGTGTCTGCCAACCACAGATCCAGGAAAATTGTGTATTATTAAAAAGGTTGAAGCCATGTTGAACTGTAATGTAAATTGTGAATTAACTTGCAGGCTGGTAACAAATAGGGATTTTCTTGTTTTGATTACAAGGTGCTATTAATGGCAGTATAACTAAAAGTATTAGCTGATACTGCATTTTGATAAGGAGTTCTCCAAGGTCTTTAGTTTGGGTGTTTATAAACTTTAGAGAACTGAGTAGCCTTATCTTTTATCGAATTATGGAACCACAGTTTCTATGGATGTGCCCTGAGTGCAGCAGGGATAAAACGACCTTCCTTCTTCTCCTGCAAACCTTGACGCAAAGCAACAGAAAGCAACGTTCTGTGAGGGCAATGGAAAAAAGAAGACATGAATCGTGAAACGAATGTGTAGATCTTGATGACTGTGGAAATGGCGGACTAAAAGCGCAGTAAGCAGGCCAAAAGTGTGCAGCTGCCTTCTGCGAAGCCCTGGTGAAGCACTGGGAGTATCCTCACGTGAGGCTGCAGCCCTGTGATGACTTGGCTTCCAGAAATGACTTCTGTCCAGCTCTGATGCCCAGTTCCCATTTCTCTTCCTCCTCCAGCAAACCCAGCTCTGCACCATCGTTGGTCTTGTGGAGGCTTGATGGCCCCAGGCTGACATCATTACATTCACTTCCTCTTTCTAGCTTGTTCAGGGCATTGGCCTGGGATGGAAGAAAGCAAGCCTGTGTGAGATGCTACATGAACCTGAGCCTGTCAGAGCGGCTGTACCTAAGCGTGCTTGCTCTGGACCTTCCTTCCTTTTACAGCCAGAGTTGTTGTGTGGTAGCTGGTGGGGGGAAGTTGTCTTGGAAATGTGCCCTGGCTTGAATCATCCATTCAGCCTGCACTTGGGGTCATCATGCGGGATTCACCTGAGGTGAGGAGAGTAGGACTGTGTATCTTCCCATCTCCTGCAGTAGAAGTCTTGCCTGGCACTAGGAAGGGTAATGTTAGATACCCAGCCTAGTCAGCAAGTGCCTGAGGCTCTTTCTGTACTTAGTGAGGAAATGCACCTGGTGAATTTTTTTCCCTCTTGGTGGGTGGTGGGGCAACGGAGACTTGTTAGTTGCCTAAATTTGCGTGGCTGAACACTGCATGAAATGTCTTTCCTGCCCTCCATAAAGTGCTGCAACCAGGAATTAGTGCTGTGACTCTTCCGTACAGATCAGATCAACTGGAAAGCATCTGCAGAGCCCCAGGGAGCGCTGAGCTGAGAGGCAGTCGTAGCACGATGGGAACCATACCATTTATTCCTTCAGTTGCTGTTTTGTGATGAGCATTTCCCCCTTTCCCTCTTGCCCTGCCTGCTGGGGAGAAGGAAGCAGCATCCTGTGGACAGGGATGTGCGATTCCAGTGCGGGTGGAAGAGAGGTTTTGAAGCTCCCTCCTTCCAGGAGCTCCAGTCTTTCTTAATTTAACTGCCCTTGTGAAACCAGCTGCTAATGATTTATGGGTTGGACAGTGCATCAGAGCTGGACAGTGGTCAAATAACTCAGCTGAGTGTTTACTTGTTCTGCTGATCACAGGTGCCTGAATATTTTCGGTATTTCTCCCTCTATACCACTTTTTCTCCCTGTTTTCTTCTGTTAAGGCAGTGACCTACCTTTCTGTCTTTCAGCTGTGTTTGTCAGGAATCTCCCAGTACATTACAAATGGCGAGCAGCAGAGCAACAGAATTACGCAGAGTATCATACCCATTTTATGGACAGGTGGACACACTGAAGAACAGGGAGATTAAAGGATTTGTTTCACATCATTCAGCAAGCTTGTGGCAGTAAAACTCGGATCTTCTTTCCAGGCATCCAGTAGACATGTTAATATATGTATGACATTTTGGACAACGACGGACGCAGCTCTGAAGAACTGTAAAAAAATTCTTCTGAAGTAATCGGCAATTTCATAGATGTGGCTGATCCAGCTGATAGTGTACTTGGGTTTTTAAGAAAAGCTTTTCATTCCTTAAAGTAACTAAATCCTTATGTAATTAGCAGAGATGTCCTTGTGGGCTTACTGTAAGAAAAATGAGGAATAAAGGATAGGTCAGTGTTCACGGTGGGGGGAAGTTAGTCAGAACCTCCTGCCAGTGCCGAGACCTGTGTTAAGATCTGAGCTGTTTGGGTTATCTGACAAAGGGAGGTGAACTGCAAGATGACAAAGTTCAGTGATGCAAAATTATTAGGAATAAGTCTAAAAAAATATTTCCAACTCCCTGCAGAGGGGTTTAGGTTCTCACAATACAAAGTGGCTTGTCAATGTGCAAGTAGGAACTTGTGGGGTAATGAACATGAGAGGGAAGGAAAGGACACAGCTCCAACTATGCTGGAGTAATGCAGGCTGTTGTAATGGGGTTTGAATTACCAGTCAGGACAGCAGTTGGCTTGAAAATATTGGCCCTGTGCTTAACAGTATTTAAAAGTCAGAGGAACAGAGAATGGAAGAAGAAACGTTATTGCACCATCTGAATCTATTGGGTTCCTTCATCTTGTGTCTTGTATGTGATTCTGGTTGCCCCATCAAGTGAAAGGTGTGGAAGTACTGCAGAAGGGCAGTGAGGATGAGCAGAGGCACAGATGGCTTAAATATTTACGTGAAGATTCGTGGGCTTGGAAAAAATGACAACTGCAGGAGATTATGATAGGTATTTGTATAACTGAGTAGCTTGAAAAAGGAAATTAATACCCTTTTTTGTTCTCCAAACTTGGGTGCAAACAGTGGCATTTTGGGGAGGCTGATTTGAAACAAATAACTGCAATGTTTAAGAAAAAGTTGTGGAACTCATAGCTACATGTTGTGGAAACCAAGAATTTAAAAGTCTTGAACACAGTTTTAGATAGTCATAAAGGATAGATCCATTGATAGTTAGCAAGCACAGAGGTCCAAATACTACAACAGCTGGTGCAGAGACCATAAACTTCATTAGTTGTTGTCAGAAATTGAGAGCATATACCAGTGTATGCTACATAAGAATGGTACTAGTATAGTTTTTCCCCCAAGTATCTGTATTCAGCTGCTGTTAGAGACCTAAGCTTAGATCAGTCTGTGATCTTAACTGGTACGTCTGCTCATACGTTGCTTTAGCCACACCATGTCCTAATCCTCAATAAGGCTGGTATCCAGGCTGTGTTTATTACATGATGAAGCCTTTTCTGGAGGATAAAGTGCAGGGAGAGTTTTAGTCTCCTTCTGAAATGGAGAAAACTCATTGAAGTACAAATCTGCTCAGTACTAGCAAATGGAATAGACTAACCCAATAAATTGGTCCTGCTCTAAACTCTGAATCCTTTTCAAGTTTGCTGTTGTAAGGGGTGTGTGTGTGTGAAATGAAGGGAAATCTCTTTATTAGCATCCCTACTGCATTATACTTCAAAGGAGTGAAAAGTACAGGGATGTGTTTCTGTATATATATATTTTTTTTTTTCAGGTTAAAACCTAGGTCCATATAAGATAGCCAGCTATTGTGCTGATAAAACTTGCTTGCTTGCTTTTAGCAGCATAGGCTGGATGAAGCCATGCCCTGTATTCTGCTGAATCAATCTTTAAGGTTCAAAACTGTCACAGGGGTTCGGGCAGCGGGTTACAGCCCAGTGCGGCTCTGTCGGTGCTGCAGCGTCAAAGTGGGTCCTGACCACGTCGTGGTGGGACAGGAGCGTAGCTGATTCTTCAACATGGGGGTTGCTGTGGTCTTGCTGGACCTTGCTCTGGTCTCTAATCCAGGAGCCTGGGGACCACTGCTTTTCTGTGATTATAAAGTGCTGTGGTTTGGTTGGAGGAGGGGTTCTTTCGTATTTGAAGACACACAGGAATTTCTCTTCACTGCATGCAGTAACGAGTGCAAGGCAACATACTGCCTGCTCCTGCCAGAAGACATTACACATCTAATTTTTTTCTGTCTTGGCTGAGAGGGAAAGGCTGGAGGAATTAAATCTCTTTAATCCCCCATCCTTTAACCACATCTGTTTCTGCATGACTGAACTTGGCACACAGGAATTCTTGAAACTAGCAGAGTCAATTGCAGTCATTAGCCCTTTAAAACGTTGACCCCTCTTGCCTTCCCTCCAGTGTATAGTTGAGGTCTGTACAGATTGAGAGTGAGCAGAACTTGATGTAGCTTTCCTAAATGAGAATGTCTCCCCTGTTTTGTCCTCTCCTTTCCCCATATATTATTAAGTCCTCTTAGGGCATCATTTGGGATGTTAATGCCTCTAGTTTTAGAGCTTTTTACAACTGTAACTCCATTATAAATCACTTGATTTTATTTTTTTTCCTAGCTAGCTCCTTTCTCTGCTAATGCCATATTAAACCAAGTTTCTTCTCCTTGAAGTGTTTGTGGTCCCAACACTACTACCTCACCCCTTAGGTCTTCTTACTGTGTACATTAAGTTCTTTGCTTGCTGCTAGTGACTAATATATGCTGCCTCTTGTGATAAGACAGATCTCTTAAATATAAGCTGTGCAAGTAGACAGAAACACAAATACAATAAATGGATCCTGCTGTAAGCTCTGAATCCTCCCAAGCCTTTCAGTACCAACTGAGATGCAGGAAAATGAGCTAAACTCCACTCTCTGTTGATAAGCTGTTGGGATGTTGTACCAGAGCAGCCCTGTCAAAGGCAGAGAGGTGGCAAAAATGTCTGAGACTGTTTCAATGGCATGTGTCACCAGGAGTGCTGCTAACCTGCTCTTCAGAAGGTGGAGTACAAACCTGGGCGTTTAAATGGATGCTCATGGTGTGTGTTAGTATATACTCAACTCTGCTCTTCAGTCGTGAGCTGCTTTGGCAAAATATCCCATGGGCTGAAAAAGGCATAAATGAAGCTTTTCTTTGCTCCAACTCCAAGTAAGTTCACTTAGTGTTGTTGCGGCGCAGCATCGTCCACTCACTCTTACAATGAAGGAAGCTCCTCAGGGACCTCACTACGTTACTGCTGTGGCAGAGATCTGGTCTGGGAGTGGACACCTACCTACAAGCAATGCCACAGAGAAGGAAATGGCGTCAATCTGAGTGGTGACTGAATACAGAAAACCAAGTATTATGTTTCCTAGAGCACAGACATGCATGGATAACAGTGATCAAGCCTGTGCTTCAAATGGGGGGCAGTGCCACTCTGCTAGAATCCATGGAGAGTGTCTCATGGACTTTGGAGGGCTGGAGTTTCCCTCAGGCTCAGGCTGAAGTCAGAACCAGCAGACAGTATTTCCGTACAATAAAGAGAATATCTGTGGTCTGCTGAAACGTATTGTTGGTTGCGTGTCAGTCGGGTAAAGCAGTTACAAAGTATGCAGGCATGTGTACTCAGCTTGTTGAATATGGGAGCTGCAGAATCATAGGGTCCTGTATTTCCCACTTTTCTTGTCACATTTGCTTCTTACTTTACTACTTAAAAATCTGTTGAGTGCAGTTTCTAGGTAGATGGATCATAGAGGAAACTATTGGTGCATTATTCTTCCTTTGACCAAATGAGCAGTTTGATCTTTAAGTGTGGAGTTCATTGCTTTTGCTCACAGCGAGTGTCAGTGGGTCCTCCAGCTGGTCCTATTGGATTCAAAGGTTACTCAGATATGGTGAAGAGCATGGGGACCTGACCCCTACAAAAAGAGAAATCTCTCCTGCTATGCCAGGGAGTAGCTGTGGAAGTACTGCAGATCTAGTACCATTAAAAGAGCGCTCTCGAGGATCCTTGAAGCTCCTGTCTGTGTGCTGGTGTACTCCCACATCATTTTCCCCAGTTTTGTAATGGAAATGGGAACTGGTAAGTTGGGATAGCAGTTATGATGAAGGTACACACCAGTGTATCACTTGATTCTGCAATAGGAGATTTGTGTTCACCTGCATTAGAGCAGATGAGTATATGAACAGAAAAGCAAAGGCACTAATTGGATGGAGTTCGCGTGACAGCATGGATTTGAGATTAGATGTCTCATGGTTTCCATTCATTTTGCTTTAAAAGCTTTTTCCCCTGTTTATTACAGTCTATGGTGGCCTTTCTCAAGGATCCAGAAGGTGCTCCACTGTGGGAGGAGGATCCCGAAGCCAAAGATGTTGTGCATGTTGACAGTGAAAAGGTACATTAGCTGGACAGATGTTCTGTATGTTTTATAAATATATGAGATGAAGGGAGTGTGTATGTTTGTGTTAACTCTTAATGAACAACCGTTATTTCCTTTCTTTGGAAGGGAAGTTTAAAGCACCCAAACTTTTTTAAGTGACTTGACAAAGTTTGTGGATTGTGATAACTATAAAGTCTCCTGGTTCCTGCCTTCCTCTCCCCTACATGTGGTCGTGATATTAGTCTGCCAGCTACATGGCAAGTATCAAAGCATTGTGGATGGTACGGTGGAAGAGACCTGTTTGTCTTGGGAAAGTGTAGCAGCTTGCAAGATGCAGTCACTGCAGGATGCAAGTAGGTGGTAAAATGCTGCTCCTACAACTGCAGGTTGTCGTTTAAACCTTGGGTTCCCTCATGTACCTGAGGTCATCTCAGGAAGTAACAGGATCCAGATCTTGAGTGATTTAACCTTGTACAGTAACTGTCCTCTCAGTGTTAAGTAGGGAAGCAGCAAATATGATCAAAGTATCTTAAAAAGCCAGTGCCACCGCAGAGCTACACGTTATTTTCTCTAATATAATCAGCTTGGTCTTTTGTATTAGTTTGCTAGTCTATAGATTTTTAAAACTTTAATTGATTGGACTCTAGCTGGTACTTCATAAAGGGCCTTTTCAATTTTCTGGCTTTCATTCTTCATATTAGAAACAGTTATTTTGACATTCAGTTTTTGTAGGAAGATTAATTTTTAATGTTCACCCTCTGTACCCTATTACAAGCCTTCCAAGGGTTGCATTCAATTTGAAAACTTCATCTGGTTTCTCTATCATGCTGGTACTGAAAAATCTATTCTTATGGCCTCTCATAGCTCCGACAAGGTTTCATAGTGTGGAAACTGAACTTGTTTATTGAGTCTGACTTTTTGAATTAGAGTATGGCTTTTTGGATGGGTCAGGGAAGAAAAAGTTTCCAATCAGAGATTCTGCAGTGAGAATAAACCAAGCCGTGCAACTTCATCTCAACAGTGAAGATACTGGTCTAGGATATTTAGCAGATATTTGAATTTTATTATAATAAATTTTGCAATCTTCTTTCAAGTTGAAATTGAGCAAGGAGAAGAAACTCGAGTCTTGTCTGTTAGGAAAGATGAACCCTCTTCCCTCAGATAAATAAGCATGTATTCTATGCATACATATATTAACTTTTAAAAGTTGTAACACAAATAAGAAGAGGTGTCCTTGGGTATAGGTCTGTTTTTATTTTCTTTGGTTCATTCACTAGGAACTGAAAAGGCTTCTGAAGAAGGAAGACAAACCCCTTCTGATGATGTTCTATGCCCCATGTAAGTAGCCCAGCATGCCCTCTTACCTCTTTCTCCCTTCTCCACTGAGGAATGTCCAAGTCTGAGTAGAAGCCTCACCTGTGCTTCACTAACACCATCTTGTCCCATCTTTATCATTCAACTCCTTGTGTTGTTCTGACTGTTCTCAGTTTTTCCCTAGCTGTCCATTGCTTGTATCCTAGTCTTTCTTCTTTCTCTTGTGATGATGACTCTTGCTCTTTGTTCTTTTAAGCAGCTGCTTTCTGTAATTTCTTCACCCATTGTCCTTTCTAGATTTGTGTTGTACAAAACAGAAACACTGTATGCTGAGTACGTAAGTGTTAATACATCTGTCTGAAAGTGCCTAGCCCTCTGGCCAGCACAGAGCTGTAAGTGCAAACGGGTATTGCACATGCTTTTTATTTTTGCAGTTTGCACCATAGCGTAAGACAAGCTGGTTCCACACAAGCAAAAGATCTCTGGAGGAGACCGTGAAGTTCAAGGAAACCCGAATGCATTTGTTCTTCCTAACTGCAGGCAGAGGGAACAGTGCAGTGGTCAGGAGCAGGAATATCTTTCCTACTCCATCCAGGAGGCACCCTGGGTGTTCCCACCCACATTGGCAGAAGTAACTTGAATACAAGTGGGATTTCATGGTGGGGGGGCGGGGGCAGGAAAGAAAGAGAAGAATACATTGGAGTCATTGCATTTCTTTTGTGACCTGGACCTTGTATTGCTGCTATCTTGTCATTGCATTGGCTGCTTGTTCCTTAATTTTGCAGATTTACAACTGCTTTTTTGTGTTTCCTGGTGACTGGTATGTGAGAGGCTTTCCAGTGTTGCACTGGAGTTGTTGCTCAGCTGGAAAGCAGGGGAGCCATGAGAAAGGAATGCACATGTGACCTAAGCTGGAAAAGCCTCCTAGCGCTGACCTGATAGGGAAATTCATGTTAATCAGCCAGCAAATTGCTAGTGGTGCCTTTCTTTAAAACTGGGTCCCATGGCAGCATTATCTGGTGTTTCTCAGTGTATTTTCTCTTGTAATTACTGCCTGAAACACCATTCTACTTTCTTTAGTCTCATCTGAGTACTGCCAAGATGGCCAGAATTGCCCAAGACTTAGTTTGATGCATCACTAAGAGAATGTTTTTTCCTTTAATTAAATTAGCTGCAGCTCCATGCCTTCAGACTCTGCAGCAGGATGGTCCTGGCGTGGCGCGTGGTTGCTCCCAGTCAGTTCTGCTGCCTTAGCATCAGCGGGAGATGATACGCCTGCTCTGCCTGTAAATCGCCCCTTCAGGGAGAGTTCAGCTGCAGAGTGCTTTCACAGTTTACCTGTATCATGAATAATTGTTTTCCACAACTGAGTCTCTTCCTGAAATGTGCCTTATCTAACCCTTCGTTCTCTTTGAACCGTTCCCCCAGAAACCCTCCTCCTTCCAGTTTCTCTTCTTTTGAAGTGGCAAAACACCTGCTAGTCTTCAGTACTGTAATACTTTTGCTGCTTCCTAAACTGCTGTGAAGGAAGCCTACTTGTAAGTTTTTTCTCTCCCCTCTGATTTCGCAATTCTTAACTCCCTCATCTTTTATTTAACACACAAGACCTTCTGACTTGGTTCTTGTCCAATTTTTCTTTTCTTACTCCTGTTACTGGAGACAGAATACATCCGACAGTTGCATTAAAATACTGGCTTTGGGCAGCTGAAGTTACTGGTTACATACACCTTTCATAACTGGGAGCAGCAAATCAAGACTGGTCACTGTCCTGGTTTCAGCTGGCATAGAGTTAATTTTCTTCCTAGTAGCTGGCATAGTGCTGTTCTTTGGATTTAGTATGAGAATAATGTTGATAACACACTGGTGTTTTAGTTGTTGCTAAGTACTGCTTATGCTAGTCAAGGACTTTTCAGCTTCCCATGCTCTGCCAGGTGCACAAGAAGCTGGGCGGGGGCACAGCCAGAATAGTTGATCCAAACTGACCAAAGGGCTATTCCATACCATGTGATGTCATGCTCAGTATAGAAACTGGGGGGAGTTGGCTGGGGGGCAGCGATCACTGCTTGGGGGCTGGCTGGGCATCAGTCAGCGGGTGGTAAGCAATTGCATTGTGCATGACTTGTTTTGCGTATACTTTTATCATTATTACTTTCTCTTCCTCTGCTGTCCTATTAAACTGCCTTTATCTCAACCCACGGGTTTTACTTTTTTTTTTTTTTTCCGATTCTCTCCCCCATCCCACCGGAAGGGGAGGGTGAGCAAGCGGCTGTGTGGTGCTTACTTGCCAACTGGGGTTAAACCACAACAGTCACTAAAGGAAATTCTGCTTTCTTTACTTGTAAGGGGTGAGTCGGGGAGGTCTTTGGCAGGAGAGGACATCGGAGGCTTTGTTAGGGAAGCTATGGGGAAGACAGCGGCATTATTTCTCTGCTTTGCTGGAAGCAGGGGCTTTAGATTCATTGTGGCAGATTCATAGGAAATGGGCTCTTTCATTACGTACCAGTGCGGTGGGAGATGAAAGCAACTGCAAACTTAAATGTAGTTTCTTAATATTTCAGGAATGCTTGGTCTGGGTAAAACGACTTGGAGCAAAGGCATGCTTTCCTTAGAAGATATTATCTGTCATTTGGAGACCATTAACTGTACTTTCGGACCTCTATTATAAAGTCAGACAGCACTAAATATGAAAAATTAGGTATACTTATAGGCATTCAGATTTATTTGTAGTTAACTGTCAAAGAAGACTCCTGCAGGAGACAGTCTGGATTTGGCAACAAAAAGGAGCTGTTCATAATGTCATTGAAAACAGGGCTGTAAAAATGGAAGCGTTAACTAGTGGAAACACTAATATGCGTTTAATTAAGCCCCGGCTTTTGAGTCAAAATACATGAAGAAAGAACAGAAGGAAATGAGTTTTTTCGAGGTTACGCTTTTATGCCTGTATAGGGATATGTGTGGCTTGACAACGTCCTGAACAGTATAACCCAGAAACGCGTGGGCAGGAGAGGTCGTACTGAAGTGGGTTTGGGAGCCCCGAGTTTGAGGCAGCAGCAGCGCTGGGAACGGAAGGACTGCGGGGGTGATGGCGGGGTGGAGGAGGCTGGTACGTGCCTGGGCTCCAGAAGGGAGTCCAGGGAGCCGTAAGAGGTTGAAGAGGGGGAGAGAGAGATTGGTAGCTGGGGGCATTTGGGGCCTGAGGCTGCTGAAGAGAGAAGAAACAGAGGATCCAGAAGATGGTGTGAACAACTCATATCTTTTGATGTCTGTCCAATGGTTTGGATGAAGCTGCAAGACCTCAGTGGGCCTCAGATGAGTGGTCCGTGCCCACCAAGAAGTTGTTCTTCTGACCAGCGCTAATTTAACAACCTCACTGACAATTTGAGCAGAGATCAAAGGTGGAAAGACCGCAGAAACAAGAGCTCTTTTTCCTCTGATTAAAGGATGTTCTTCCCAGGCATGCTGATGCAATCCTAAACCAGTGGCTGCAAAATCTGTTCCTCCTTTCTGGAAGATATTTTCAAAACTCTTGTCTCTTCACCAGGATAAAAATATTGACTGCTGTCCCATGGTGGACCCAAGAGTTTCCACAAAAATTGTCTGAAGTGCGTGGCCACAGCTTGCTTGCTTTCATGCTGCCTGCACTCCTGCCCCTTCCCATGTGCACGCACGTATTTTACTTGGCAGGGGTGAAACCCGCTGCGTACAAGGTGATTTAGTGCTAATCTGCTTAGCACTCCAGAGCGTCATCAAACAGCTCTTAGCACACTCCAGCTATACATTGGTAGTCTTCCTCACTTGCTGTTTGTCTCTTCCTCAGCATGTAGAGTTATTGTATCTTACAAGGGCTGTTGCTTCTTCTGAGTTATGTCTTCTCAATTAACAGAGCACTGTTTACCTTTTGATGTCTGTTTAATGTGTTTAGGAAATGTATCTCAAATGAATTTCAAAGACTTGTTAAGCTGGGATGAATCTGAAGTACCTCCCCACCCCCTTAAAGACCAGAAATGCACACAGCTCGCCTTTTTACTTTTTTTGAGTTCACAGGCATGACATCTTCCATTGTCTTTTGAAATGTGAGTTTCATCTTAAGTTCTCCTCTGAGCTCAGCTCAGAGCCTGAGGAATATGAGACGGTGTTACTCTTTCCAAAATTGGGATGAGAAAGGAGTATGAAAATGAATAGCATGAAAAAAATGCACAAATCTCTGCATGTAACAAGGAGTAACATCCTTAGAAACTAATAATCTAATAATTATTTAGTGAAATAGATAAGGAATTTTGTTTTAAATTTTTTTGTATATTAAAGAAAATGTAGTTTCATATGCTTCGGAACATAGATCCTGTAGAACAGTCTGAATAGAGTTGTTGGTGTATTACTGACACAATTTCTTTTTTATCAGGGTGTGGTGTTTGTAAGAGAATGATGCCATCTTACCAGCAGGCAGCCACAGAACTGAAGGGTAAATATGTAAGTGAGAAGATAAGATTTATATAAAATTTTAAACATCCTTTTAACACTTCATTTTTTTGCATATTTAAAACCACAAATACTTACCAAAGTGAATTTTTAAGCAAGTCAAGACAAAACAGAAATTAATGACTCCGTTCCAGATCTCTTCAGGATTCTCTCTCTTGGTTTTTATTCTTTTTAAACCTTTGGAGAATGAGGTGTTAACTGACTTGCACTTTAAATCCAGTGTAGTTCTTGCTGCAGAAAAAAAATGGGCTCTGACACTATGTAGTTTTATGTTTAGCTTCTAATTTGTGAGTTTGTTGAGTGCATGTTGGTAAAGATAATGAAATGTTTGCCATAATGGGTTTGATCAGGTTTTTGCCCTGATGTTTCACATAGGGATCAAGGATGGATGCCCTTATAGTAATAATTTAATCCACTTTTTTAGTGGACAATCACAGTGTCGTGGGAGGGGGATTTCCTTGCATTAGCTACTGATCGTCCTCTTAGCCCCTAAGCAAAATCTTGTAGTTTCAATATAGCTCTGTCAACAAAGTTAGCATTCATACCAGACTGAAATGAAAATAAGTTTTGACCATAATAAAATCCGTCAACAGCAGTCACAATAATTTAGTTACCTGTTTGTACTAATAAGACATATTGATCTCTGGAAGCAAGTTGAAGGCACTTCTCAAGTCAAGGTTTTATAGTGCTTAATGTATAATTTATATGATACCAATAATACATGAGTGACAAAGAAGGGATTGTTGTTTCATGGCTTTAGCTGGATTTGGTCTGATCCTACCTTTTGAATCATTCACTGTCAAGTTTACAGTTTTCCTTGGGAGAGGCGTCATGTGATGAGGAAAAGATAAAGTACTGCAGTTCATCACTAGGGCAGCTCCGGCCATTACTGCTCATAAGCAGCAAGTACTGTCAGACTCCCCCATGTTCTTGCAACTAGCTGTTTTTCAGAAGCGTTTTCTCTAAATCCTTGTTTGCTTAGGGCTGAAATGAGTGGGAGTTGTTCAGATTTATTTAGGACACGGTACAACCCTTGAAGATATTTTCAAGAGCGTTTTTTCTCTAGCCTGGCAGTACTCTAATGCCCTCTCCCCCCAGTGGAGCATGTGCCGCTGTCTTTGGGAAGGTGCTCCCCTCTTGCATGCTGGGCACATTGCGAGGTGTGGGGTGCGCAGGAATTAGGAATGTAAAGAATCACCTGCAGAGGTAGGGCCAGAGAGAAGGTGTGCTGCAGAGCACTGTGTTCTACTGCAATTATCCCTTCCTTGTCCATGTGCAGCTCGTTTTATTAAATTCAGACCATAGAATTTAAACTCCAGATCTATTTTAGTTTGATTATTTCCTTCCTCACTTGGAAATGGTTTCTGTAGATCCGGGCTAATCCTGCACAGCGGACTGACAGGGCTGTGGCACAGCTCTGAGACGGGCAGTGCCTGTGCTTGATGCAGCTCAGGTCAGGGGTGCTTTTTGTTCTGGAGGGTTTTTAGGGCAGGATCAATTCAGAGGGAGGTCTATTTATGCCACTGCCACCCATGTCTTTCACAAAAATCAGTCTGTTCGTCTAAATTTGACCTAACTAGCTTCCTGAGTGGGATGTGTACACAGTTTGCCATTTCTAAAGTTAACTGCTCTGTACCCATCATAAATTATCCATGGGGTATCTTAGAGTGATGTCGACCTCCAGATCAGACTTTGCTGGAAAGTTTATGATTAGTTTGGATGAGCTGAAGGTTTGGCCTTTTAATCTGACCTGTCATTAGCTGTCAGGATGTGCCAGGCTCAAAAGCAATTATTGCTATTATATAGCAGGAAAATGAAGTACAGTATTGGTTGTTTAATAGGTTGTAAAAATGAAAAGGTGAACTGTACCTGTTGCTGGTTGCTGTGTTCTCTTGGGACTGGTTGTTTCTTGTCCCACTACTGTTACTGGGAGGAAGCGAGGGTGGCATTTTCAGTGTTACATTTGGTCTACATCTTGCAATTCCTTTATACCTGGTGCAGAAAGAAAAAAGGGGCTCTGAATCGGCAGAGGATGGCTTAATTTATCCTTGGCACGAGAGATTCCCATGGTTTGTGGGTAGGGTGGGCTCTGGCAAGTGACCATCACCGATGTACTATGGCCCCAGTGCAGGGAGGAACTGGTGGTCAGCAAAGCACTTCAGCATCTCCTTAGGGCCCATGGACTTCATGGCTGTGCCAGAGTGCTTTACTCAGTGAAGACCGGCTTGCATGTATGCTCAAGTGCTTTCCTCCTTTGGTACTAGTCTTTTTTTTGGTGAAAACACAAGACTTCAGAAGCATAAAGTTCCTACACTTATTTCAGGTATCAAATAAAGCAAGCCTTTGTTTAATCTGTTCATTAAACCTGGGTCTAGGAAGGCTTCAAGTAGTGGTGTGAGGTACCAGTTTTGGAGCAATCCCGTCAAGAAAACTGTGAAGCGTGGGAGGGGTCACAGTAGAACAGGAATGGTCAGAAGCCCAGAAGACATGGCCAGCTGGGAAAGGTTCAGAGTCAGTTTAGGTTAGAGGTAGCTTGGTGGAAAGCAGGTAAGTGTTGAAATATGTCAGATGTCACTGCAGAGGTGAAAGGAATAAACTGATCCTCGTGTCTGCTGTGGCTATTACAAGAAGTAATAGACTTCAATTGAAGGTCAGGGTCATTCAGTCGTTTGCTAAAAGCAAATTAGCTGAACATCTGGCAGGAGCAGCTTAAGTATAGAGGGAGGATCCTGGCTTTGGCTAGTAGGTGTATTTTGATGGTCCCTGACAGCCTGATACTACATAATTCTGTGATTATAGGCCAGCTAAAGCTGTTACTTTTGTCATTAAAAATGAATCCCATTGTAATAGGCTATTTGCTAATTATGCTTCATATGATATATGAACACCAGAATGAATCCAAGTTACTGACTTGTATCAATCACTGCAGGCTGGGTGGACACAGTGAAATTGTAGCAGAGTATCTGAAATGGCTGGGAATGCCCACTTAAAACCTAGAAGATCCTCTGAAAGTTCCTGGCAAATGTGAAATCTGGTAAACTGCTGTTTATGAGGGAATTAGTTAATGAACCTGGTTCTTGCTTTATAAAGCAACCACTGGGTCTTGATCCTCTTGCAATTACCTACCCTCAGGTGGTGACGTAGAGGGTAAGGGAAGGGGAGAATTGGGTCTAGATAACTGCATATGAATTAGGTCAATCTTCTTGTTGGAACTACAAGGAAAATCAAAGAGACAGACTTGGCCAGCCAGTATAAACCCTACTTCTGTACTCTTCTCAGTTAGCTTCCCTTTATCATTTCTCAGGCTAGGGGAAAGAAAACAAAGTATCTTTTTGTGACTTTCCAGCACATTCTTAGAAAAGGTTGACCTTCAAACAAGGATTTTCTGCTTTAAGATTTATTTCATGCTGGCTCTGAGCATATTTGGTTGGTCTGTGCAGTTTGCTGCAGTCAGGAACCTGGTATTAAATTCTGATGTGGTATTTCAGCTGGAAGGAGAAAATCCTGGTTTTGGAGGGGGAGGGAGGAGGGGTATGGATTAAGACCCTGCTGCTAAAATGATTTAAGTTGTCAATGCCATTAAACTAAGTTAATCATGAAGTGGTATCTCAGCAACTCACTGGTTGAAGGTTTGACAGCAGAACGACCTTCGTGTGAATCCCACACCCACAGAAACCCAGAATCAGCCCTATCTTCAAATTTTCAGGCCAGAAATTTTTGGAAGACAATTGGACAGGGCACAGGTTAAGTTGTAGGAGCCCTGAGCCTGAAGCTTGAGGTGAAGGGCTCTGGAGGTGGAGGATGGGTTGGGATAGAGGTAAGGAAAGGGAAGAAGAGGTTTTTTATGTTTTACTTGCTAGCCTGAAAAGTTCCTGTGCTTCTGTGCCCCTCTTTTGGTATCTGTAGGACAAGGCTAATTCTTAATGCTCATTATACCCTACAGTCAGGTAATGTAACATATTTAAAGCATATAAATGCCATGCGGTGTTTCCTGGGCTCATGGAAATGCGGCGTGGTTTATTTTCACATTTTAAAAAAAAAAAAAGTTGATTTCTCCTTGCCATTCAGTAAGTGCATTTTTGAACTGGGATAACGCCGGTGCTTGATTGGTTAGAGCTTCTGGGCATTAGCTGAGATGGTAAATTCATTGCTGGAGTGGAAACCAGAGAGATGAGGGTGGAACTTCTTGTGTCTTAGCTAATGTTTGGATGTGAACTAAGCCATGTACTTGCAGAAAAAGAAAAAAAAAATCTATTTAGGCTTGTAGCTTAAAATCCAAATATGCAAAGAGAGCATGAGTAGTGTGATTGAGAGAATTCCCTTTAGGTATTTCTGTTAGTGGGTGAATAAAAACAAACGGAGACACTTCCAGAGCAAGGAGGAGGTGACAAGCTGATTGATGTCTAGATTTCTGTGAACTAGACTCAAATATTGTTCTGTTCCCCCTCGCATAAAATCAGAAAAACTTCACTGCTTTTACAGAGATCCCCTTGATTTACATCAATATGAATGAAATCAGAATCTGCCCAGAGCTTAGTTGGTTTTACTTAACTCTTTAAAAAGAAGTTGTAATGTTCTTACTTTATTGTAAGAATCAATACAATTATGCTCTGTTTTTTCAGGTTCTTGCGGGGATGAATGTTTACTCTGCTGAATTTGAAAGGATAAAGGAAGAATACAATGTCCGGGGATATCCTACGATCTGCTATTTTGAGTCAGTTACATTTTGCTACTACTTTAGAAATCATACACTCAACTATAATTGCATGTTCTTATCTTCCAGGGCAAGGACTAAACCTTGTTTTGTTGCTTTAACAGGAAAGGAAAGTTCCTGTTCCACTTCGAGAACTATGGTGCTACCGCGGCAGATATAGCAGAGTGGCTGAAAAAGTAAGGCATTGAACTTCGTGCACTCCACCTTCTATGTACTCTTCATTATTTACAGAATGTAATGGTTTAGGAACAGCCATCTCTCCCTCATTCCCTCCATTCAGAAAAGCAAACAAAACTACCCCGCTGAGATTGGCTAAACTAGCACAGAGAGATTGCTTAATGTTTGTTTTCTAGCATGCATGCCTTGCATTTTACAATTGCATTTCATCTGTAATAGGAGACTGTCTGTGGACCAAAATAAATGCAGATACACAGATGTCAGCATCATTAAAAATGCCAGCTTAAATTTCCAGTGATCTTGGGTGCCGGAACTTAATACCTTGCAAAAGGTCTGACTTTGTTGTTTTATTAAAAATGTATATACCAAGTGCGCAGTTCTCATTGGTTCTCCAGCCTTTAGCTGGAGCCTTTAGAGTGTCTTGCGGAGACAAACAGGAGATCAAGGCACCCCGGATTGCTAGTCGTTTTTACAAAGTCTGTGTTTCCCGTCATGACATGAAGTGGTGTTGAAAGCATCTTGTTCTACCTAAAGAGAGCTATTTGCTGTCATAAATATTTTGGGGGCTGAATGAGCCTAGGGGACTAGCAGGAGAGAGAGAGAAAGCGTGTGGGTGTGTGTATAGCTGCTCTTGGGCTGGTGCAAATCAGCGCGTCGTCAGTGAAGCTGAGAGAGCAGCTGGAGAGAGCTGAGAGAGTCTGGTGATGGAGAAATGCCTTTCACAGTTAGCCCTGGCTCTTGGGCATTATGTCGTCTTTGTAACCCTCCCTTGTTTGCTGCAGCCACGGAAATAATCTTAAAGTCAAGCTAATAAAGGGAAACAAACGCATGGGAAGGAACAGACAGTTGCAAGATATTGTGATAGTATGGCTTAGCAAAATTGGCTCAGAATAAATGTGTTTTACCGTACCAGTGGGGCTATGCTGGGGGCATGCGTATGGTTGCAGGCAGCCCAGGGTCTTCAGCAGTGGTGGGCTATGTGCTTCAGGATCGGGAGCCAACGAATGAAGTGACAGCAGTGTTCCTGCTAGCATCAGGAGGTACAAACACCGCAGGCGAGTACTGCCCGGTGGATCAAAGAGGAGGAATTTAGCTATAGTCTTTAAGCCTCATTTAGTCCATTAAGCCTTCAGATGTGAATGATCAAGATGGCAACTCCAGCAATGCTGAGGAGATGATCAGCCCTTGGAGCAAGGATATGACTTCATCACCTGCACTTTATTATGCTTTTCAGTTTTACAAGGATGTGGTTATCTCTTGGCTACCACATGCGAAACATGAGATGTTTGAGGTGGGTTTTTTTCCCCTGTCTGCCCACATAATATCCAGATAATCCCTGTAATATGCAGTGCCTTTATATCAGTGCTGTGACAGCAAGTGAACACAGCTACTGGAGGCAAAGCAGAACAGCTGCGAGCTCTTTCCAATGATAATCTCTGCTAACAAGCCACTGTGGGCTTTGGCTGATATTTCAGCAGTCCAGAACTAAGGACAGCTGTTTGTCCTCACTTAGTGCATGCTTATTAGTTTCCCAAAAGGTGGATCTGAGCAGTAGCCTTCTTGCCCCTGTTTTGTGTAAGTACAACTTTTAAGGAAACCACGTTGAGAATTACGCATACTTGAATTTTGCCAGTAATTGATGTTGCAATTAAAACTGTATATGGGGTAAATCTGCTACATGCATAATATTATATTACTCTAAGGAATCTGCAGTACAAATACTCAAATGGTATGGCAAGGGCTTTAGGGAAGCCAAAGAGTGTAATTAGATAGCTGCAGGGTGTATAGGCTGTATTTCAGAATAGTATAATATTAAAATCATGTCAGAAAGTTGCTCTGATGCAAGATGTTGCTCTGTAGAGCAGGAGCACGGCAGTGCCAGAGTGTACATGGCAGCCCATGGCGAGGAAAGCCAATGCGTTTTTATACTGTGCGTGCATGTGCTGTCATCATAGATTTTCGAAAGAGAATCCAGCAGACGTTGAGTCACATGAAATGACCTGTTTTTTGCGGACACTAGGTACACACTGCAGAAGAGCAACTGTTTTCTCTTCCCTCTCTCCCTTCTCTGTTTTTTCCCTCTAAATGTTACTGGGAAAGTGCTGAAAGTGGTTGATCTATGCTAATTTTTTGGGGAGGGCATGATATAACTTAATAAAGGTTAGAATTATTTAAATTATTGAAAGGATGTTTTCCATGTTGTTTCCTCTCAAAACAAGAGCTGCTAGTTTGGGGGGCTCCAACACGTTTTCTTTTACTACTTATTGAAATGCTTCTTTCTTGTGCTGAAGTGTGCTAATGCATCAGTCTTAGGGATACTTAACCTCTCTTATCTTCCTAATAGGCACTGGCTACTATCTTATGGAGTTTCAGATGTTTTAATAAGGCAACAGAGCGAAACCATCATACGGCCTCACTCCAACACACAGCATTATTAACACAAGAGATGCTATCTTGTACATACCACAATTCCTTTTTTTTTTTTTTTTTTTTTTTTTTTAACAAATTGGGAAAGCAGATCTCTTCACTGTTTCCAGTAAGAAATCTGAAAGACAGCTGTATCAGCCTGGATGGTAGACAAGCCAGACAGCTTCTTGCTGCCTTCAGTAGCTGCTTAGTTTGTCTTGCTGTTTTTATGGACTCCCCTTGGGCCCTTCCTTAGCACCAGTTAAATCAAGAACTTGTTCTCTGTTCTTAATTGAATTAGCTCTTGATAACTCTTCCAGGCTTCTGTCATGCTATTTTTGGTCTTCAGGCGTTGGATGTGCCTTGTCTCAGTTTTAAATGACATTTTAGATTTTGCTTGTTGCTTCCTCCAGGCCTTGAGGTGCTTCTTACCAGCTCCTGTGTAGGCTTATTAGCATGCACAGCATTTTAAATTGGGCCATTTGAATAAACTTCCTGTGCCCTGCTTTACTAATTCCTTACTGAAATAGGTCATGCCAGGCCCTGCTAAATACAGTATTCTCCCAGTGCTTTGTAGTCACTGTGACCATGTTCATCATGCTCTGCCTACTCAACCCAACTCCCTTTCCAAATTTGTGAAGTGTCATGGTGTTTTCTGGAAAGCCTTCACTCTGCCAGGATACCCGCAGATTACTGCTCTCTTACAGACTTGGCAACAAGCAAACTGATTATCTACTAAGCTTTTAGAGAGTAAACTCTTGCGGACAGGGACCTGCCTCTTTCTCTCGGCTGCTTGGCCGACTGCAGCTCTGATCCTTGCTTTGAAGTTTGTTTCTTGGTTCATTTATCATATAAGCAGCAGTAGAGGTGTGCATCACCGTTTCGCATGGATTGCTTAATATTCTTGGATTGTACCCATTGCTTACATCAACAGAATTTGCTATCTGAATCTGTGTATCTCTACTGTTTTTTTTAATCAAACTAGGCTTTCAGCCTAGAACTGAGCAAGGCAGGATAAATGAGTTATCCGTTTGCCATTCCTCATTCCAGGCAGCTAACACAATAATGCATTTTAATCAAAAATAGTAAATCTGCTTTCACCAGAGATGGGGTCACATCCAGACCCGTACTTTGCCAAAGAATTTGGGGAATTTTTGGGGGTACTTGGAACTCATTACTACAACTGGCAAGGATAAAATAGCTTCAAAGTCTGGCTCTAAATGTTCATCTGTTTGGGTGTCCTTTACGTGAACACTGCTTTAATAAATAAAATGTCAATTAGCATAGTTTAGTTCGCATCTGCCAAATTCTCTGTTTAATGTACGTTAATAAAAGCCAAGAACAGTTGTTTAGCAGGATGAGGAGCACTGAACCAGTCTGGAGGAGCTTGGATTCACTTTCCAGATTTGCCACAGTGTCTTTGAGCAGTATCTCTGGCTCTGATCCATCAAAGATGGTTAAACTCATGTGCAATCATAGTAAAGAACATGTCACTTATCTTTTAGGTTAAGCATGCAGTTGAGTAGCTTTGCTGAATTAGGCCTACAAGCCTACTGCCGAGTGAGGACATAACGATGCTTCCCCAGGTCACAGGGTTGTTCAGGGTAAAATCGTATATTCCTTGGGAAATAGTCTGTGTAGCTAACTCATGGTCCCAACACTGCACCTCCTTCTTTCTCTGTCAGCCCTAATCATGCTGTCAGTATTCAAGGCGACTGGTTAAATTGTCTGTTCCTGCTCGCTACTTTTTTCTTTCATTTGCAATGGCTCCTGTGAACTGCAAAGTGTGAATGTTGTGAGAAATGGAGCATCCTGCTGAGGAAGGTAAAAGAGTAACAGAAAATGCATCTGATTTCTATAATGTAATAACCAAGCAGTCTGGTTGCCTCCTTACTCCATCCCCTTCCATTGCCAATCTGTCCTCATGAGCTTCTTGTGGATTTTTTTATTCCTCCTCCAGTTTTATCTGCATTTCAGTGCTCATGAGTTCTGGATGGGTACAATTATGGAAGCTGTTCAGTAGGGTTAGTGTGTTGTACATCTATGGACATCTGCACAAAGTGGTTCCTTGCAGTCCAGCTTGCCAAAATAACTGCTTGGCACCAGAGAACTGCTTTTCAGCTGTGTCTGTTTGTCTTGTAGCCCACAGGCACCTCAGCCACAGGCTCCGGAGACTCCCTGGGCAGATGAAGAAAATGTAGTTTATCACCTGACTGACGAGGACTTCGACAAGTTTATAAAAGATCATTCATCAGTGCTAGTGATGTTCCATGCACCATGTGAGTTTGGTTTTTTTCTTTTTCTGTTCTGTACCCTGAACCAAATGCTTGCTAACAAAACCAATGATGATTTTCTGTGGAGGTTTCACAGAGCTGTGAACTCAAAGTCCAGGCTTTTCTTGTTTGTGGTGATTGTTAAATACGCAAGGCATGAAAAGTTTGTGAAGTTGCTGACTTCAAGACAGAGAAGTGCTGCTGGAAGAGACACTTCGTAGGCTGAGTCAAAACATAACTGAAGAGTGTAAAGATGCTTAAATAGTCTGAGGACTCATCATTTTACAGCATTATTTCCCATTTTCAGCTCACCATCTTTGTTGTTTGCTTTCAAAGCAGAGCTCTGGTTGATTGAGCAACTCAACTTGAGAACCCTGAGCTCCTGAGTCCTTGTTCGTGGCTGCTGATGTGTTATTTTGAGCATTTTCACTCCTCTGCTGCAGTTTGTTCTCTGGCAATGTTAAGGGGTGATGGTCATTATGTATTGTGCTGAAGTATGCTAAAACTTAGTTCAGAAAGTCCCCAGGACTTTTGAAAACTAATGCAGAGCTGATGGTGATACTACTTACTGTTTGACTGAGAATGCATTGGGATGATTTTTTTCATGACTTGGCATTTTAGTTTGAGCAATAACATGCAGTGGGCTGTCCAGAGGTATTGCCTTCAGAAAGCTGTTCCAGCTGTGTTGTCGTCCTGTATGCTGTTGGGTGGAAGAGTGCGTTAACTACATTGTTCACTTAGGATGTAAGTTATTTCAGCTGTGTAGCTGGTTCTACCAATTCTTTGTGTTTGCAATGGAAGGTTCAGGCTTGAATCTGCTATGTTGGGTGATACACAGCTTCTGTCTCCTCTTGCTGCTGTGCTGGCAGTTGCACTTGAGCGAGATGTTCATTTTCATGGGCATAGATTTGAAGGTTAGGGCTCTGGAGGCAGGCTGCGTGCTCACAGCTGAACAACGGAGGGTCTTGGCACAGAGGCTGAAATCCTGCTTCCCTTTAAGCCAGCAGGAGTTAGCTCCAAAATGCCTTTTTTGAAGGTCTGCTCATAAAAGTCATTTGAAGAACATACCATAATGATTTCCTTTGCCCGATGAAATGCCTAGGGATTTGGTCCGCTGAAGCAGGTGACTGGCTGCTGTTTTGTTGCTGTGTTCACTGGATTATTTGTACTAATGAAAGTGGGACTGGAGATTAACTCCTGGTCTGAAAACCAAAACAAGTAGCAGAACTGATGAAGCCTGGTTTGCTCAGGAGTTATCCTTCGTTACCCAAATCCTTCCTTCCCCCAGATTTCCATGCACCCTGGCGTGCAAGCGGCAGCACGGGCGGCTGCCCTCGGGAGCTGTACGCTTGCTGGTTTGGCTGAAGAGTGGCTGCCAAACAGAAATGTAACTGCTGAATTTCCCTCCTTTCCCTCTCTGTGCGCAATGGTTAGGGATAAGTGTCCTCTCTCTAGCCCCAGCTTTTTGTATATTTACAGAGATTTAGTCGTATTTGACAGCTTTGCTGTTTTTTGAGTTTGTAAATGGGCAAAGGAGTTCAGTCATCAGTTTGGGAGGAGGAAGAGGGGGAAGAAATCAATGGTCGGCACTGCAAACCTTATTCCTTTAGGAAGTCAGATTAAAAATAGATGAATACACACAACTACAATCAAATTTTATAGTAAATTCAAGTTAGTTATAAATCTGAACAGGGCTCTTCAGTTTTTAGAGGTTTTTTAATATTTTCTAGAACACAAATAATAAAATTTTAGGGATAACAATATTGCACGGCCTATTTGGAGAAGGAGGAGTGCTTCCATCTAGGTATGTTTTGTACTAAGGGGCATTCTGTGCTAAGGTACAGCAGTGGTTTGGCAAATGCTGTTTTAAAAGTAAATCAAATGCCTGAATTGGGCTGTTGCAATCTCCTGATAACATGTTCCAGCTGCTCAGAATTGGGATAAAGAATGTTCCTTGCCAGAACTCCCTTTTGAATGCAACTTGAATATTTGGGGCATTTTATTTACATTCAGGTGGTAGTGGTATGCCTACATGCAGAATCCAGCTTGTACATGTGTAAAAGATCTGTGTTTGTAAGAATCCTCTCTGGGCACCCTCAGCAGAGAGTGTAAGGCTTGCAAACTAATTAACAACAGACAACTATCATAAACAGTTATCTCCATGATTAAAAGATCTTCTCCTAGCACTTCTTAAATGTGCTAATGGAGTCACCTTATGAATATTAGGAGATAAATTATTCCAGTAAAAGAAGCAGTAAAAACGGAGGACATCTTACCTGTTTTAACCTTGGTAGCTTAGGATGAGAAAGTTTTTTCTAAAAATTATGTATTAATAAAAACAATTGTTGAAACAGATGTACGAAATAGGCCCAGAACTCAGGAAGGATATACCTCTGTGTAACTAAGAATAAGCAAAGGGATTTGCAACACTGGCCTGAATTAGCAAGTACTTAAAACCCTGTGTCACCATGCAGCATACACGTGACTTTGAGTTTTTCTAGCATACTGCCAATCTTGTGTTCATGAGAAGTTCTTTTACTAGAGGGAGAATTATTTCAGTGATGCTTTAATTGCATAGCCAGATGGCCAATGCATTAATAGAGTCTAGTATTAAAAAATGGGGGGGGATTGGAAGCTTTTTATTTACCCCCCTCAAGTGCTGAAGGTACAGCTGAACCAAACACATCCCTGGTAAATACCTGTGAACTGCAGAATTAGGCACTGTGATGAATGTGGCCAGTTGGGTCTCCATGCCTGTGGCTACTAATGATCATCCCTGAGGACCACACTATAATTATTTACAATCAGTTGCATTTACTAGCCCAATTAAAGGTGTCACAGCATTTTGTGTTAAGTGCAGCCTAGCATAACTAGGTTCAACTAGAGCAGCTATGTGTGATTTAAACACATCAGGAAGGTCTGCAGCATGCAACTTGCACCTCTTGCTATCAGAGACCTTATACCTTTTCTGCAACAATTTAGCACAACCATTAAACAGAAGATGCGCTGCTTCGAGTCGTTACTGCTGGCCCTGAGAAATGTGAGTGTGGGTGGGCGGGATGAGTTCATCCTGCTTTCGTTTTGCAGGTCACTAGGGACACGAAGCAGGATTTTTAACCTTCTGAAACTCCTTTGTAAAGTCCTTAAGAGGATGTTCAATAAATATGCTAAATATTCAGAGGTAAACAGCGACCCAACTAGCCAGGAGTCTGAAGGCATTCTCCCTCACCAGCCATCTGTGAAGGATGTGCAGCGTTGTGCTCCTTATTCAAGCATTTTGCTGAAATTTCGTAATTGCTGGTGGCGAGTATAGTGCTAACCTGGGTATATCCAGACTGCAGTCTTGCAGACATCTGAAGTGTGTTTTCTATGTGTTGCTTTTATATCTAGAAACTTCAGCTGTGAACTGAGATCTCCTGCACTATACAAAAGAACAAATAAATGGCCCTTTCCCACAGAGGATTTGGAGTTTTTTGCTTGGATTGATCATATTTGCTAACATGAGATATCACAGTTGTGTTAGCGGGCCTATTTCTGAGTCTGTAACAGAAAATGGATTACACCAACCAAAGCTATTTCTGTACCATAACATAAATAAAGGCACCTATGCAGTCTTCTGTTAGCAATGAGAATAAAGACTCCATGTCTGTATGTGCTTCTTGATATCTGTGCCTACAGCTGATCAGTTTATGTAGATGCCCAAGATGATAGCTGGGTTCTGACTGTGTCTTAATAGGGGTTATGCTGCCAGTCAAGTGTTGTTAAATGCTTCAGTGACATGGGGACTGAGCACGTAAAAGCCCTGTATGTGTTTTCAGTTTCCCCATCAAACTGTTTGCTGAGTCCAATGCAATTTTAAGAACAATTCTGTCCAAAATATTTGCCAAATTAGCGCAGGCTGCAGTCTTTCTGGCTTGGTTTTGTCAAAGGAATAAAAACCCTGCGAATTTCCCTTTCTGTATTTTTTGCAGCATTTTTCTCCAAAGCACATCTCGGAGCCTTGCAGAAAATAAGCCTAACCAAGTCGCTGATAAGTCAATTCAAATGCTTCTGAAGGGTGTTTAAAGTCTAGGATTGAAATTAAAGCCTATTCAGAAATGGTTTCTAAAAGTGTCTGCTTTTCATGCACAGGAGTTACTTTCCATTATGTTTTGTTAACACAAATGACATCGCTAACATTTTAAAGCGTACCTGTTCCTGCAGCCTCATGTAGAATAACGTCCTGGCACCACCACGAGCTGTAGCCTCCCGGGTACGTTCAGCAAGCACAGATCTGAGCCATCCCTGTTGCTAATGAGTGGTGGTCGTCAGTCAGCTCTGACGGTTGCTTGGGGTTGCTTTTCCCCCACCTCATGGTATGTTATCAGCCATCACAGAGTCCGTGGTCCAGTACTGGTGGCAGAGGTAACAGAGGAGAAAAAGGCACTTTGGCTGTACTGTTAGTGTGAGTGTGCATTTGCTTTTTAAAGGATTAAACTATTAAAATGTTTTTCCTGCAACATTTCTTCCTTGTACATGAGCTAAACTTCATGTTAAACCTGTCGTCTTCTTCCCAGCCCTCTTCACAGGACTTCTTCAGAGACTTCATATAAGCTGTAGTTGTAGGACTTAAGGTTAGAAAAAAATGTCAATATCCTTAGTAGGATATTGGAGCCATCACGGTTTTCCTCCCTTGATAAGGAGGGAAGGCAGGAAAAACGCAGCTCTTCCCCCCCGACCTCCCTTCCTTCCCCTCCTTAATTTGTTCTTGGAAACTGCTTTGGAGATGCAGCCCTGATATACCTTTTCTCGCTCCCCCCTTAATGTAAGGGAGGGTAAAAATAAATCTTGAGATGATAAAATGCACTATAGTTCTGATGGGTTGTTGAAATGTCCATGAAATTCCTTTCCTGTCTTCAGATATTTTCTTTCCCTTTATAAACCAGCCCAATAAATTACGCAGTTGGTGCTTTCCGAAGCCGGCTATTCAGCTTTGCGGGTTTTTAATTGCATGGGGAGCTGTTTTA